CTCTCTCTCTCGATCTCTCTCTCGATCTTTCTCTCTCTCTCTCTCTCCCTCTCTCTGTTTCTCTCTCTCTCGATCTTTCTCTCTCTCTCTCTCTCTGTTTCTCTCTCTCTCTCTCTCTTTCTTCGTCTTCAAGCTTAATGCTTTCAAACTGACTGGCCCTAATGCCTCAGTTTTGATCATTGCACTTTTGAAACAACCTGGAACCAAACGTTGCCATGTCAGGCAAATCCACGGGTGGCAAGTCAAAAGACACACTGTCAAACTTGTCAAGAGAAGCCGTTGCAACTCGACGTCGCCAAACACTGCTGCAAAGTCATCCAAAGAAGCTGAGACACCCATTCCTGTTGAAACCCAAAGGACCTTCCTTCATGTCCGTCGCATTGAGAGAGGTTCCAATTGTCAACAGCCATGCAAACAAATTCTCTTCGCGTCTTGGTTCCAACACAACACATTGGACCAAAACAAAAAACATGCACCAATTTGCTTGAGGCTTGCGAGCACAAATCAACCATCTTGAAGTTCAAGGATGCAAAATTGATTGACTACTTCTTGGATTGTCCAAAAGCCTGGTTGAGCTTGAGAGACAACTTTGTTCTTTGCAAGACAAAACACGCCTGGATTCCCAAGAGTTTTTTTTGCCAGAACAGCTGATTGAACAAAGGTGAACGAGCACCAGAAACAAAAAGCCGAAGATATGCTCCAAAAAACAAGATGCAGCTCTAGTGGATCTTTGGACTGAAAGCATCGAATCCAGATGGTCTTCTGGCACTGCAAGGACTTTCTCCGACCCACCACCAAAAAGGCAAAGGGAGGGACGGTTGATGTCAGGAACAAATGCCCACTGCGGGCCACAGCTCTTCCTGCTTTTCGCTGTCGCTTGGAACAATAGTGACCAGGAACTGCTGTTTTCCACGGCCAGACCTTCATTGCTCATCGACCATCGAGCTCTTGACTTGCTGAAGAACTTTTAAGGCTCTGCTCAACATCAGTGAGCTCGTGCATGGGTCTGTCCGCACACAGGCCGACAGCATGGGCCCTGGACCTTCAGCGAAG